GAATTATGTTTCAATACGCAGAAAATTTAGAAGCTTTTATGTGTTTTATGCAGTTGCGTGTTTCATGACTTTGCCAAAAATCGAGACCTGCAGAGAAATAATTTTTTGAAGCTAAAATCAGCAGATTAGGAGAATCTAAGAAAACAATTTTGTAGTCCGAGATTTGCTCTATTTGATCCATAGTTAATCCTTTTCGATATTATGTAATGAAATTTTCAAAAATTAGCCTAACTTTGAGCAGGTAAAATTAACAGGTGGAGAACTTTGGCAATTATCAAAAAAAGCATACAAGATTATGGTACGAAAATGTATATGTAAGAAAGAGAAGGAAAAACTGCATCGAATGCATGTTAAAACTCGCTTGGGCCTTTATTGTGCCTGGTTTTACAGTGGTTTGAAAAAACCGACAAAACTTGCGGGACAACCTAATATATGCGATTTCGTATCAAGCGCTGCTTGTGACTGCTGGGCGGTATATCGACAAGTTTGACAGCGCTTGCTGGTTTGGCTTCTTTTGAGCAACGACGTACTGCACTATTGATTCCTTACAAGGAAAGGATAATCGGTGACCGTGGCCATTTGGAATGCGATGTATACCTTGAGATGCACCTCGAAACGCTGATTCTAAATCTGTGCTCGATATCTGCGAAACATTCTTCTGAAGGAAGCTATGAACTTTTTTTCGTAAAAAATTGGCGTACATTTGGTTAGTTAAAATGACCAAATTTAACCTAGGTTACCGTTTGAAGTGAAGAGAATTCTAAAGGGAATACTATTATATCATATCTATCTAAATCATATTCAGCATTTGAAAAGGAAAAGAATTTTTTTGTTGATAATTTTGATCCTCCGTTGTAGCGCGATTTATTCATGAAAAAATAATCATAACTCCATCCAGATTATCGTTTCGCAGATACGGAAAACAATATTCGAACCAGCAGCAAAACGCGTCTTTGATTTACAAACCATCACAAATGGCCACGGTCATCAAGTATCCTCCCCTTGCTAGAAATTTAGGAGAGATAAGCTACCACTCATTCTCTGACTAAGAGATGCGAGCACGCTTTCTTACGTTTGATCAACAAATTCATGGATGAGTTCTAACGCGTTTTCGTTGATTACTATCAGGAATTCTTGAAAGAAGTGTTCAAGCCAGCGTGGTTTAACGAGCTTAAACATGTTCTTCCATGAATTCTAATAGTAAATCAACCAAAACTCATTCATGAACTTGTAAGTGAAGTGTACGCAAAGCGTGCTCGTGTCTCTTACAAGGGAGGTTCACTTATTCGAAGTGGCGATTCGGAAGGTGATCTACAGCAGTAGATAGAGCTTAAAAAGCTGATCTCAGATATGCCTTCTATATCTGCGATGCATTGTTCTGAAGAAAGTTATGAGCTTTTCTAAAGCCAGATTTTCGTGCATTTTGAGCCGGAAAATCATGATAATCTCTACACGAAATTGTGCAAGCTTAAGCGAACCTCCTAGTAAGCATTGTAGTTCTAATATGAGTTCATCCGAACGTTTTCGAGCGTTTTCCGACCATGTTGTTTATCCACAGGTTGTCATTTCCGTCCTACATCACACTTCCATTATATATACAAAAAAGCCCATAACCTTCATTTTAAAAAACGCGTCGCAGATATTGAAGATATATTTGAGACATCGTACGTTCTATCCATTGGTAGTTTCCAAAAAGTTTCCGGACGCGTTTTTCTAGATGGAGGTTGTGGCATTTTTTATATACAACTAGCTGGCTTACCCGGCTCCGCCGTATCCGGACCAAACTTGGCACACATACACTTCGGGCTCCGGCGGGTGTCACAGTCCACTTTTCGTTATCGATCGATGTCGATTTTACCGATTTTTATCGATTTTTTCGCAGAGTTCACTTACAGGGCTAGGAGTTGGCACAGGGGGGAAGTGAGCATGGGGATTCCGAATACAATATTAGTTTTCAGAATTATCGGTTACTTTTGTTGATTTTCTCGATATTTTGTAAATTTTGACATGCGAGGCTGGGATTTTGCACAGGGGGGTAATCGAGCATGCTGATTACGAACACAATATTAGTTTTCAGGATCGTCCATTACTTTTATCGATTTTATCGATTTTTTTTTGTAAAGTTTGACCTGCGGGGCTGGGAGTTTGCACAGGGGGTAATCGAGCATGCAGATTACGAATACAATATTAGTTTTCAAGATCGTCCATTACTTTTATCGATTTTATCGATTTTTTGAAAATTTGAGCTAGGGGGCTGGAATTTGGCACAGGGGTGTAATCGAGCATGCTGATCACCCCCCTTGGGGATGATCAGCATGCTCGATTACCCCCCTGTGCCAACTCCCAGCCCCCTAGCTCAAACTTTGCAAAAAATCGATAAAATCGATAAAAGTAATCGATAATCCCGAAAACCAATATTGTATTCGGAATCCCCATGCTCGATTACCCCCCTGTGCGAACTCCCAGCCCCGTAGCTCAAACTTTGCAAAAAATCGATAAAATCAATAAAAGTAATCGATAATCCTGAAAACCAATATTGTATTCGGAATCCCCATGCTCGATTACCCCCCCGTGCCAACTTCCAGCCCCGTAGGTGAACTCAGCAAAAAAATCGATAAAAATCGATAAAATCGATATCGATCGATGACGAAAAGTAGCCTATGACACCCGCCGGGGCCCGTAGTGTATGTGTGCCAAGTTTGGTCCGGATCGGTTCAGAAATGGAATTTTCTATTCGGAACATACGTACACACATACATACAGACATACATACATACAAACAGACATTCAGCTTTATATATAAGATAGAAGTGTGATCTAGGAAAAAAATGACTACCTGTGAATAAACAACATGGTCGGAAAACATTCGCAAATCGTTCGGATGAACTCAAATTAGACCTACAATGCTTACTAGGTGGTTTGCTTAAACTTGCACACTTTTGTGTAGAGATTATGTTGATTTTACCACTCAAAATGCACGAAAATTTTTCTTTAGGAAAGCTCATAACTTTCTTCAGAACAATGCATCGCAGATATAGGAGGCATATCTGAGATCAGCTTTTTAAGCTCTATCTACTGGTGTAGATCACCTTCCGAAACGCCACTTCGAATAAGTGAACCTCCCTTGTTAGTCGGAGAATGAATGATACTTTCTCCTCGTCTTTCTGGTCAGGTTTATTGATGGCAAATTCGCGCGCTTTGTAAACTTCTCGCCTGGGTAGCCGATCAATTCGCAATTGTGTTCGTAATAGCGATAGAATACAAGCACTCCTCACGACTAGATTATACATACTCACGCATACTGTTCTATAATACATTCCACTTATCACTGCTTCTTTTCATCTCTTTGGTGCGGATAAGTTATGTATTTATATCATCTTATCTTGTACTCTCCATTTGTTAGGTGGATTTCTACAGTTGAGCTTTTCTCTCGTGTGTCTGATGCTAGCCCACTGCTGATTGAAGATAGCAAAATATCTAACTCTGCTTGGGTGGAACATGTCCTAATTGTCATTTCCTCGAGATTTTCAGCCATAAGCGCTATAGAAGGGTGAGATGCGTATCAAAATTAATCCTCAGTGTTTCAGATCTTCATCGATCAAATTCTTTACGGCGACAAATCCATCGACTGATAGTAAGTCGCTACTAGATCGCAAAAATTATGAAGGCGAAATAATCCACTTGCAGTCAATGTTTGTGATGTAAAAATAAGATCATCTCCTCCATCATGGAGTTACCTGTGACATTCGATCAACCGTTTTCATTTGTAGCGCGAAATACCGTCCTTTGTTTCCAATCACTACGGTTTCCTCTAGAAACGTCCCCGAACCAGTTTCGCACCACCCATTTACTTGAACTAGCTTGTAAATCAAACGAGATGAGCATCTTTAGGGAAAACGGTGGGCTTGTTACCTGTAATAATCAACTACCACTGGGATACTATGTACAGAAATAGAATTTCAACCATTTCATATAAGCTGTGTAGTTAACTCGTTTCGGACCGCGAAATCGCTCGCAGCGGAAAAGAGTGCACTTTCAGCCACTAGCCAACAAAGGGACCTTATTTCGCAGACTGTGGGCTAGATCTGTGATCAGCATGCCAAATAAGCCCCATATCTGATGTTCTGAGTGAATTTGAAGTGTTTGAATTTTGTCGCTTGAGAGGGACTTTCGTGCTTAATTGAAAAATAGGAGTAAGAACTCAATTTCAATTAGTATTCAAAAGTATCTATGTTATGCACGGTACACATCATTATTGAAACTAGGTTTTTCTCTTTGAAATCGAAGCAAAGAAAAGTTGCGACGTCGCACGCGTCGTTCGCGTTGCAGCACTTCGTTGCAACTGTTATTCGATTTGTCCCCATATCTTCTAAATAAATATCGGCGGCACAGCTCTATAGAGTCTTTTGAAAAGTAAGAACTTAAACCTTTGACATAATAACCTTGGACTAAAAGAAAATCTCGTGTAACAGTCAGAAAGATCCTTCAAAGCTGTGTTGCACCATGGGCAGCACCGGTCCGAAACGTGTAAAACTGCAAAATTCAATTCTCAATCCTGCAGCACGAGAGGGTGCAGTTCACAGTTTGACACTTGTTAAAGATCAATCTTGGCTAATTGAATCCAACCGCAAACGGTGAAGTACTGCCATTTGTAAAATTTTGTGGATTTTGTCCCACTCCTACCCGCTTACCAACATGAGGAAAAAGTGCTGGTATTCCAGCAATCTCGTTACCTTTGTGAAATGTGATGCTTGGTTAAAAGTTTTGCCCAACTTCCATATCATTGGTGGCAAGACGTTTTGCGAGTTTCCTGTTCCTCCTTTTCAGCCTCTGACTTACAATCGAAACGTTAGCAGATGATAGCTTATAACATCAGCAACATCTACAGCACCAATCAGTCCTGGTTATGCAAAGATTTACGGGAACTCGATCGCTGATATTACCCTTTTTGTTGTTTTTGATATCTGCAACACGCTGCAGAGCGAAAAAAGAACAAAAAAGTCGCAATAGAATCTTTACCACATATACAGCATCACATGACCAACCCATTTCAACAATGCAAGCGAGAACACACAATTGATGTAACACTCAGAGATAAGCCACCTCAACACAAGGTCACCATTTCTAGCAAAAAAGTACATAAACAGCTAAAATCTGGAGACGAAAACTAGACCACCACGAAGGATTATATGTGAACACTACTTTGGTCCCATGAGTGCCGACATCGGAGAATGTGAAGAAGAAGTGCAGTCTAGTTAGGGTGCAAAAACTACGAAGACTTGATGTCGAAGTCAGTATCTAAAAAGCAACATATAGAGGAGCAGTAGAGCTTTTATGACTTTATGTTAGATTATTATCTTATATTATCTATACTCAAAAAGATATGAAAAAGTAAAATGCTGTGCGAGAAGAAACCAAAAAGGCAATCGGCGTTCGAAGCATGGGGTAGTAATAAGTTCAGCAGTCGACGGCAGACCTAGATTGAACAACAGATATAAAATCCCTTGACGCCCACAACAAGCAAAAGCACAAATTCTTTCAGCGCACAGATGACGTATAAGCGCAGCTTAAGCTTCGAGGCGAGTTACACGCGATGATTTAAGGAAGGATAAAGATCAGAGGTGTGGTATTATAACAGTTTTGAAAGTGATGGCGTACCAATTACACGTTTTCCCATTGGCTTCTTCACTCCAGGAGGTGGAACAGCACTTAATAGAGGTATCTCAGGCGGTGGACTTCGTCCCTCGTTTGATCCACCAGAAGAATAGTAGATGTGATTGCTCCTGCTATGTCGGCGGTTCAGTAAATTCGCATTCAGTCTTAAATTTTGAAAAGTAAAATGAAACAGCTAGACAAAATGAACAAGTCAATCAGACTTACTCATGATTAGAACTCGACCGATCTACTGGGTATTCCACTTGTCCACCGTTCCAAACTTGCCTGCCATGACTTCTAGACCGTACACGACGGTGGGATGATTCCTAAAGGGAAGAATAAGCGAAGTTATGTCTAGATTTGATCCTGAATGAGGAGTGTTGAAAGTAATAAGACAGTCACAAGTTCAAAGAAATTCGCCGTATAAACTAGACTGAAAACCGCCTAAACATGTGCGACATCATCGAACTCGAAGGTCAAAAAGAGATGAAGATACAAATGAAAAACCTTTTTTTCTCTTCGCTTATCTACGTACGACGGATGGTCAGACGAGTCACGATCAGACCTACGACCACGTGTTGAACTAGTTCTTGTGAAAGGCACACTTTCCAACAGAAAATCTTCTTCTGGAGAAGTTGCACTAAATATATCCCAGTAGTACAGAATCAATGGAAGAAACGGAGAGGAGCTAGCTGCTAAGGCACAACTCAGCCTACCAGTTGCGGCTCATGGCCCTCGGCGCTTCTTCCCACAGTAAAGCTGGTAATATGTTATCACGTTCAGTAGAACTAGCAGATTGATTCAAAAGGTCATAACCCGAGACTGCCTGCGTGAACGGCTAAAATGCACTGTTAAAGGATTATTGCATTTATTCTGAAAACATACGTGATTTGTTTGTAGTGCATCCAGACGATGTTTCAGATCGAGGACCTCGTTGAATCTTTTGGTTTCCAATTTGAGATGTTCATTACGGACACGTTTCAACTCCACCTCGAGCTTAAACGTATTATTTGACACACGTTTCACATGTGGGGATATAGTAAATTTAGTCTTAATTTAGCGAGATCGAAGTATCTAAGCAAACATCAACAAGCCATGCTTCCAAAATATTAATTGTCATACTCGTACCTCTTGTATCCTTTCCTCTTTCGTTCGTTTTTCTTCGTTGACGGAAGCAAGCTCAGCCTGTTGCTTGGCAATATTTTCCTGGAGCTTGTCACGCAACTGGAAAACAAATCAAAATCTTGCTACAAACAGATTTACAACTAGCGCTATTGACTACGTCAGTGACAATACATCTGAATGCTCTGGAATGTGTGGCTCAGTTAGGCAGAACGTATACAAACAATCATTTTTCGACCTACATCAATAGCTTTATTCCGCACTCCGCCTACAAGTTTACTTACGACTTTCACCAAATAATTTACTTTCGTCGAATAGGATGTCCGCTATCGTTTCTTTCCCGATCTCTGGACGAAGAAAGGATAGCGGACTTAACCAAAACCACTGCCTTTCGTTCATACCTGACACCCCGAGCATACTTTACGCAGTTTCAGTGATGATTAACATTTCCCAGATGTCTTCAAATCAACAGTCACAGATTACAAATGCACAGCCTACATAACTTTCACACACAAGCGCTATTATGAAAAATGAAGTCCTGCTAAATCGCGTCGCGACTATCGCGCGTATGCCCAGGGCCTAAAAGATGAGGAGCAACGCATGTCATAGACAAGTTGAAGTTTTATATGAAATAGGAACTCTCGATTCCCGACCACAAACATTCTGATTCAAATGGATTGACGGCTGGAAGGTGGGGCTTCGTGACCTAATTAGGGCTAGAAAATGATCAGAGAGCATGTCTGCAGAGAGAGGCAGATTGCGTCGCGGACGCGAGGGTCGCCTTCCAGCCGCCAATCTCGTTGAATAAAAGCAAGGTAAGCAGGTAAGGTGAGCACGTTCAGAATGATTATGAAATTACCGCTTCCGCGTCTTTGATTTTGGAATTGTTGTCCTTCATGATCGCGAGAAGCTCATTGCAACGCTCGTCAGCCCGACTACGCTCGCGATCACGATCTTCAGCCTGAAGGATTCGTGAAAGTAGAATTTCTGAAGCGTAAGAAAGAATGAAGCAAAGTTACAAAAATGAAGATCAGCTCAATGACACGATGGGCGAGTACTTTCTTGGAACAAATATCTTTACCTCCTTTGCTTTTTTCTCCGCCTCAGCTTTGAGCGCTTTCAACTTGGATTCAATATGACGACGCTCTTCTCTTTCGGAATCCAAAGTGACTCTAAAATTCACCGTCACTCGCAAGGGTTATATCACAATAAGCGTTCCTACCGAATGGTATCCAACTCCTGCTGCGACTTCTTAAGTTGCGCTCGAAGTTTCGCTGCTTCCCGCACATCAGACCCAACTACAGCTACTGGGATTGTAACCGTTGATGAAGCGGGTGTTCTTTCTTTTTCATCTTCGGCTTCATTAAAATCGTCACCAAAATCCGACCATCCACCAGAACCGCCAGATTCTAGTCAAAAAGAAGGGTGAATTATTGATCTCACATTCAAAAGCGAACTTCATACCTCCAGCACTGCCCTCTTTCCTACTTTTATCCATTTCTTCAATCATTCCAGATAGGGTCACATTTTCCAATTCCAGATTACTTTTCTCGGTCTTAAGTTTGGCAATTTCGTCGTTAGCTACCTAAACACTACATTTTGAGTTGAAACAAATTTAGACTATTCCCCCTCAAGATGTTGATTTGAACACTGACATCAAACTCTTTCCGGAGTTTTTCCAGTCTTTCTTTCGCTATTTTCAGATTTGTGGTGAATTCTTGATTACTGCGACGCTCATCTAAATCAAATTATAAGGTCCAGCAGAAAAAAACAAATTACTTAAATATGCACTAAACATTATATCTTTGATACCTTCAAGATTTTCCTCAAGCTGCTTGAAGCTCATTTTAGAAGTTGTAAGCTCTTCAGTAGTACGCAAATAAGCTTTTTCGTTTTCCTCCAATAGACGTTTGCAGTCCGCAGCAAGCCCCTGTGCTTCAGTCTTTTGAGTGCGCTCCAGAGCTAGCTCAGCTTTAGTAGACTCCAGTAATTTTTCAATGCGATCCACTTCCGATTTCAAACTCTCATTGCTGTAAATAAACACTATCTTGGCTGGGGTCATCGACAAGGTACAAAAACTGACTTTGAGGTTTCAAACAAAACAACAAACTCACGCTTTTGAAAGTTTTTGTAACTCAGCGTTCCTCCAACACAGTTCCTCGCGAAGCTCATTCGCACCGTCGTCTTTGCCCTGAGATTGACTAGCCGTGGTGAGTAGCCTTAAAGGCATTGGAAAAGCAGCATTTTGACTTCTGTTACGGGAAAGCAAACATTATCTTCAATACCTGTTGATTTCGATATCTTTCGTCTTCAGCTGCTCCTCCATGAACTTGCAATTTGTAGCAAGGTCATGAGCAGCCCTGAAATACGTCATCTGATAACAGAAGCAAGCGTTTAAGAGCTGACCGCTCAAAAACCACTCTCAAAAAACCTAATAAGTAGCATTAGCAAAAAAAGATGAAAAAAAAGAAGAAATAAAACGAAAAAAAGAAACAGAAAAAAGAAAACTAAAAGAAAGAAAGAAACGAAACGAAAACTTTGGAACGAATAAAAGGCAACTGAGACGAACTAACATTCTGTCAAAGATGTTCGCGTCGTTGAAGTCCGACAAGAAGTATGAAGTGAAGTGGATCACAATCACAGTCATGAGGAATACCAAGTTGAGAATGAGTCCGATACCTGAGTGAATGACCGCTTGAAAAGAAAGTGAGGGAAGGAAGGCAGCACCTGCATCATCCATGCTACTGAAAACACCTATTGTCCTGACACCGTCTACAAGCGACTTTAAAAATCCACCGATTGGACCTAAAATATAAAATTCAGCCGATGATTGGCGAATCTAGGATAGCAGAGGAAACCTGAATTTTGCATTGGAAGTTCTTGTTGGGGTTTCTTTACAGCGGATTGGTCGCTTGTGATAGTGACGGACTCTGCTTCAGTGCACTCCTCACGCGTACAGTACTGAAAACATCTCGTCGAGCGTACGCATATGAACATAGGACTATAGCGTGTCTTCGCTAGAGCGCTGCTAGATGTGGCTGCACACAACAATCTGAGAGAGAACACGCAGTGCCACGTGTACATGACTGGGTCCTAATTGGCCCCACAGAAAGCAACGAAAATTAGGATCATTAAGATCACAAAGTGTATCTGATGTAGTATTTCACTTTCAGTATCACATGAGGGCTACCTTGACGCATTTTTTCGAGTAACTAGGAATGACTTGACAATTTCATCAACGATAGCTGATGAATACTTTGCAAGAGCATTTCCGAAGAATATCCATCTACTAAGTGCTTGAATCAGTTAACTCTCGGCTATACTTCAAAGGTAGGTGCCAGACTAACCGATTGCCTGCTGCAGCAGGACGCGGCACATTTACTGCCATTTGACGTCACGTTGTAGGGAAATCAAGTCGGCATGCGCGATTTTCTCAACAAGAATTTTTTCGCTGGTAAGGCCTTTTCATCATTCTCTCATTCTGCAAAGCTTTTTTCACCATCTTTTCAGATCTACTGCTGTTGCGAGCATAGCAGACGCTACTGCGATTGCCGTCCAAAATGACGCTTGCTTAAACTTGATACATACCTCGCTGCTTAGGCTTGAGATATACTTGACGATGGGTCGCTATAGCTGACGATAAGACGCTGCCAGCAGCAACGCCTTTTATGCGTATCGATTGACGCCATGCAACGCTGCTGCTTCTGGCTGCTGCAGCGAACGCGATACAGACCCGCTATAGCTGGCGATGCTGCGCTGCTCTGCGCTGCTGCTTGCTGCTCGTAGCTGCTCCTCGCTGCTACGCGATATGAAGCTCACTTTTGGTGAGCTTCTCTCAGCTGCTTTACGCTGCTAGCGCTGATTTTGCTCGGATTTGCCCGTTTTTAACATCCTTTTGAACTTCTGAAGGATTTTTAGAGCGCTTGTTGCGTTACTGAACTGTGACAAATTTGCAAGACCAAAACGCAAATGCTTCGATAGGAAAATTAACAGAGAATTGACAAAGTGAACGAACAAATAAATATGAAAACCGTACAAAACTTTTGCGAAGAATCAAATTGGATTAACAAAAAATTAGAAAATTTACGATTTAGTGGGATGTTACCAGTACACCTCAATACATTAATGGCAGCTATGACCTAGGTCGTTCGGTTTTTGCCTCAAGCACAAATCAAGATTCTATTGCGACACCGCTTAAATAATGGTAATGATTATTTTCTCAGTACTAGTGCAACATTTGGTTTGCAACTGTATGCTTCTTAAAAAGATTTGTTGATGAGAACAGGATGATTTTTTTGGAACATGTAATCATATTCTTCACTTTTTGATAGTTCTCAAAACTTACTTTCCTAATGGGCTAAGCTAAGCGTAGTAATGGGTAAAGCTACTCGTTCTTGCACCCAAAGCGTACCCAGCGCAGCAGCCACGAGCAGCTAAAGGCAGCGCAGACATCAGCGATTCGCCAACACCCGCTATACCTCTATCGTCAGGTATATCTCAAGCCTTAGGTATAGACAAAACCAGCGAGCAGCGCTGCGCTCGGCTGCTTCTTGAGTGCATGTTGAGTGCAGAAACCTTCAAAAATGATTGCGCTAATGTCGTGTTTAATTATGTCAAAAAGAGGAGAATTAGCATATTTTAAGTTGGATCTGGACTGTTGTATAGACCTCGACACGATACCCAATTGACATCGTGCGTCAAAAATGCGTACTTGATGTAAAGGCGGTGTACACTACTTACCTCAACCTGTAATTAATATTTTTTCAACTTGTACTTCCTCCCCATCTCTCTGGAGTTGGGAAAATGACTGAAGAAAGTATTGGTAAAACTGATTGATTTTAATTATCACTACTCGTGCTGAAATCTTATATCGTGAGGGTTATTTATCATGCTGATTCCAAAAATGGTACTCATTTTGCTTGATAGCCGTTCATCCATTCCCCATAGCTAAGTTTGGAGTTATTTGATGTGCCAAGTGGAAGTGCAGGTCAGAGGTAAAGAGGCTGTCTCTCCAGATTACTCACGTGATTACCGATGTTTCTAGATTGCCTATTCCAATTACTTTTATCACTTCTGACATTCACTGGGCTTTCGATGCTATCGTAGGTTCGAGCGCGTAAGAGGTAATGTATGATGTTTGGTAAATTTTTTTCAAACTAATCTATCAAATTGAAGGTATTTTTATGACTTGGAAACTCGGAAGAGCAAGTTCTACCATTGTTTAGACATTATGTGCACAGCAGTCTCGAGTCTCCCATTCATAGAATAGATGATATGCGAAATGAGTACCATTTTCGGAATCAGCATGATAAATAACCCCCATGATTTAAGATTTCAGTACGAGTAGTGATATTTAAAATCAGTCAGTTTTACCAATACTTTCTTCAGTCATTTTCCCAACTCCAGAGAGATGGGGAGGAAGTACAAGTTGAAAAAATATTAATTACAGGTTGAGGTAAGTAGTGTACGCTGTATTTACATCAAGTACGCATTTTTGACGCACGATGTCAACTGGGTATCGTGTCGAGGTCTATACGACAGTTGGATCTGGTCCATACTTTTATAAGAAGTTCTTCATTTTTCATCATCATTAAATTTACAATAGCAAGGTAGCTCATACGAGCAAACTCAGAAGAGCAATTCAAGTGTATCCATTCCATTTGACCCCTGATAAAGCAATGACTGTCCCAGTATTATGGAAGAGTCCCTCAGGCATGACTGGAGTCCATTGGAGGCCAAACTCTATCTGATTACGCTGTCAGCTTTTTAAATTATTGCCACTGTGTAGTCAGTATCAATTACTTCATTTCTCTTCATCATAGAGTATGTGCCGCCATTGTCGGCACCTTCCTAACAACCGTATCTTTACTGTTACCTAAGTACCTTACAGGTCATGCCATAAGCATGACCTGCTGTGATAGTCTGACATGTTACTCTAGCACGCCTATTATTCTCAGCATTCTACCACTGCACTAATACGTGCACGTCGACTGTTCATAAAGCTTATTAGCTAATGTGTTCCACATAGCACACATCAAGAGGCGCTATTTCGCCTCAGGCTACTGTAAAGCCTACTAGCCACCGATACATTTTGGTGCATAGGCCAAATAAGACCGATACGTGCTTGCTCAAAAAGCAACACAACTACAACAGCGATGAGGATTTCGCCCTTCCTCACAGATGTATTCAGAATGTCCACCAGGGAACTCGCGGAACTATTGCAGAAGTACGCGTGCCATGGTGAGAAAATTATTATTCCAGATGGCAATCGAAATCGGCAAGATTTGCGCGCTCAACATCTGGATTCACTAGCGAGGTGCAAAATGGAAATTGAAGATGCCATTGAATCGCTACAAATGGATTACGAAATATTCATGGAAAGATGTGAGGAAGTTGAATCCGAAGCTGCGAAGAAGTTAATGGCAGAGGAATGGGAGGCATTGGAAGAAGAGATAAGATTTTTTGAAACCATTTTTGACGCTAAAAGGTTTCTATACCTCTTGCAAGAACGCATAGCAGATGATGTGCTAGAGTTAATAGGGGGCGGAAGGAAGTTTCCCAACGCAAGGCTCATGAATTGCATGGATAATTCAAACAGACGAACTTTGCTCAAAGGAAACGATGAGGACAACAACGATACCACAGCAATGAGCAATGATACAGTAACCCATGACAACGACAACAACGAAGAAGGTAAAGATGAAGTTAACGGAAAAAGTCACAGTGAAGAAGACATCGATAGCACCTTACCAACTATTGCAAACGAGCGCCCAACAATGGAGGTCATGGTACCGAAATTGCCGCAGGCAAACGAGTGGCAGCACCTCGGACGCAAAGACGACGGCAAACGAAACACCAGAGCTCAAAACCTTGTGTGCTACCTGCCGCTGGAGAGGGAGTTCCAAAGACCGCGTCATAATCACAGACAATTGCTTCTCTATCTACCGCTCCGTCAATGCTGTAGCGCCGATTGTGCCCATTGCCGCTTCAAAATCACCAGCGATCCACTACGACGACGACCACTACGTGATCCTGATAGATGATAAATACGATAAGAAAGTAATACTTATTTGTTCGGTTATTCTCTTCCTTTTCTTCTCATGCCCGGCCGGAGTATGCCGATATAAGCGGCACCCCTTTTTATTATCGCACAGATGTATATTGTACTTGTGATTCACTTCGGTTCCCAATTCTCCCGAAGAACGGAGTGTGCCGCCATTGTCGGCACCTTCCTAACACGTATCTTTACCGTTACCTAAGTACCTTACAGGTCATGCCATAAGCATGACCTGCTGTGATAGTCTGTCATGTTACTCTAGCACGCCTATTATTCTCAGCATTCTACCACTGCACTAATACGTGCACGTCGACTGTTCATAAAGCTTATTAGCTAATGTGTTCCACATAGCACAAATCAAGAGGCGCTATTTCGCCTCAGGCTACTGTAAAGCCTACTAACCACCGATACATTTTGTATGTCCCTCCAGTGCGTCTGTACCTCCCCATATCCTCTGAAACCCCAATTAAACGGTATCAGGTTGCATTCATGACTTGCTCACGCAATATAAAGACGGGCTGTGTTTCCAGAACGCTAGTTTCAGCTTGAAAATTGCTAAAAATAGGTAATTTTGAGCCAAAACAGCTGTTTGCAGCTCACAGCAGCTGAGATACGCTCAGAAAAAGTGAGCGTAACTCAGCTGCAAATCTCGTTGCAGCGCTGATCAGCTTGAGCAGCGCTGCTCAAAAATGACTCGCTAGGTATGGACACGACCTTCCGTGTTAGCTGCTGCAGCGGGAGGCAGCAGCATCATTCCGCTGCAATCAATACGCACAAATCGCATTGCTGCCACCGCTACGTATAGACATCCGACGCTAAGTATGTATCAAGCCTTAGCTCTATCGAAAGGTTCTTCGACGCCTTATACTCAGATATGAGAAGTGCAAGACTTAGTGTTATTAAA